AAATATATATAAGAGAGATATATATATATATATATATATATATATATATATATATTATCATTTCTCTTCGAATGTACATATGATTTAGGTGGGATTACTATAAGACTCACCCAAATATCGTCTTTCTCTATAATATAGTGACCCAAAAGAATCTACAAAGATAAATTTGAATATAAGATCTTGTGTAAATTATTGGATATTGGTTACTATTGGGTTGATCTTATTAGGTTTTTTTCTTCTTAAGTAGAGTGACACGAAGAGTGCGGGAGGGGGAAGCACGTGCACAGTGAGAAATGAAATGTTGTGGTGGGCTTAACGCGGGTTAGGTTAGGGAATCTGCACGTGATAGGGGGGAAATGGATTATAGACATGCATGGGGTTGGATTGGGATTGGCAGTAGCGGAAGAAGCCATGAAGGGATTCCATTCATCATAAGCATCGAAAACTGCGAAGGATGCGTCAAACGTTGTTTAGCTGTCAATCCCTCCAAACTCCTCTCACGGGGCTCCCATTCCATTCTCTCTTTCTATAATTCCATGCTTACATAAAATAAAATATTGTGCTGTTTTCTCTGAAATGCCCTTTCTCATTCTCCTTTCAGTCGCCGTAAGAAACGTTACCAAGCACGTGCTGTGTAAGAAGTGTTCCAAATCTAAGTATTTTAATTCAGAGATACGAATTGTTATGAATACTTTAGTTAAAAAACACTAATTATTATTATTATTATTTGTGTCGATTAATATTAGTTGCTTAATGTACATATACAATTAATACAACTCAATTAAACTTCTATGGTTGGGGCTAAATCAAAGTTACAGCAGCTATAGAATTTCGATTCAAAGATTTCATGTCAACTGGCTGTGTAATTTCATGTAAAGTTTGATCTTTTTTTTTTTTTTAACTGGCTATCATCCTTTAATATGCTTCTCTAATAACAAAAGCAAATATTAAGTATTTCACTGGACTGGGCACATCTGTGATTTGGATAACTATTTCTTATGTGAACTTTGATCATTATTCGTTTATGTGCATACATCTAAAGTTATGATGAGATTTGAGCATAATTTGGCTGTATGTATAAATTAAATGAATATAGGAAGCAATAAAATGTAAATTGAAGCGGTAGATATAGGTTGCTTTCACAAAACAAATGCTTGGTAATAAGGACAGAGGCGTATCAAAATATCTAGAAAGCAATTAATTCCATGTTGCTTAGAGTGAAATCAAGCAAAGGAAGTGATTTTTTTTTTTTTGGTAAAAAAAAGTTTAATCAGGGTAAAACATAATCTCATATAAGATTAAAAATAACTATTAATCCCTTTGAGAAATTTTCAATAAAATTACAGATTGGTTTATTCCATATTCAACACAAATATGCATGAAAATTAAGATATAAAATACATAGAAAGTTAGATTCAATCATAAGTCTTAATTAGTAAATTATTAATAAATTTTTATGTAAAAAAGGTCGGTGAAATAGTAATGAAACTAGTTACTGTTCCTCAATTTCATACAAGAAAAGACTCCTCCTATCATGGGTCTACAATTTTGGTTATACTGGTTAGACTCTTGACTTCAACGCATGTTTGGGGAGTTTTTATTTTTCTTCTTCTTCTTCTATTTTTTCAGTTTTTCTTTACAAATTCTTTTTTCTCTCCATGTTTATGTGCGATATTGGTAGTTTAAGCAACTACTATATATAGTAATTATCCTTATATCAAGGGGAAAAAAAGCGATCAGTTATAAGAAAGCATGTAAAGGAGGTATTATGATTAGTGACAAGATAATGCTTTGGCTTTATATAGTTGTCTAAGTCCTTGGCTCTAGAATCTGAAACAGGAGCTAAGAAAATAAAACCATATACAGGATGTTTCATAAGGAAGATCAATAACAACACAAGAGGTCTTAATTTTGGTGGAATGGAAAGAAAAACCCCATTATGTACCTGGTGCTCTCGTGCATGTTTGGCAACATGATAGTGATCACTCCAAACGTACCAATTTGCAATTGCACATAAATTATTATAACTCTTTTTGGTAACATTTTGTACATATATATTAATTAATTTAATTCTTCAGAAATAAAATATGGTAAGGCCAATTTCGTAATTCAGATTTGAAAAGCATAATTTGTTGTGGGGGATATGTAGGTAGTCGTGAGGGAAACAAACAAGATATCTCAAATATTATTTACACCCACCCTTCCTATATAAAAAAACCCCAAAGCCTCAGATGGGAAAGGGAACTAATCGAGAAACCAAAAACAAAAATCATAATTAGAGGAAAGTTTGAAGAAGCATGGATTCTAGGCGGCGTAAAAATGCAGCTATGCAAGGCAAGTTGCAACAGCTTCGATCGGTCACAAATTCCAGTGCTGTAATTAACTCTTAACACTATTGATTATAATATATGATGCATATTCATCTTGTCTTTCAATACTTCTTCAGCCTACATGAAGAATTTCATTAATATTCGACTCTTTTTTTCTTTTGTTTTTTGGGTTAATCTTGCAGGTTAACAAAGCCTCAATTATTGTGGATGCCACCAGATACATAGAGGAGTTGAAGCAAAAAGTGGACGGATTGAACTCAGAGCTTGGAACCGCTGAATCATCATCAATCTCCCAAGACGAACTACCCATGGTGCTTATTGTTTTTTTATATATATTTTTCCTTTTCTGAAAGACAAAGAAATTTTATTAAAGGATTACAAAGATGATATACTCCAAGTCTCCAACCATTGTTACATATAGATCAGTTAGTAGTTACGTACATGACTTATATTTTTTTTCTTTGATTATATAACATAACACATATGGTTAACTCTTCCTATATATTTTGTAAACTTTTCATAGGTCACCGTGGAAACCCTAGAAAGGGGTTTTCTCATTAATGTGTTTTCAGAAAGGAATTGCCCCGGCATGCTTGTGGCAATACTCGACGCCTTCGAAGAACTGGGACTTGATGTGCTTGATGCTAGGGTTTCTTGTGAAGACACTTTTCAGCTTGAAGCGGTTGGAGGAGAAGTAAGACAATACATTAGGATACAGTACTTATCTAATTCCTTTTTATCTTAAATATATTTGTTCTTCTTTTGTTTTTCCTTTTGAAAAATTTTAAGCGTCAAAAATAAGGTCACACTTATTGACTTGAATACATGAATTGTGAATCTATCTACATCTATATAACATTTTTTCATCTCTTTAAATATTTTTTTTTTCATTTCTAAGAAAATCAGTCGACAATTCATTGCTTAGTTTATGGGATTACATTACTTGTGAAACTTATGCAATAGTTCATATCGTCCCGAAATAAAAATAGATTATTCAGAAGGAAAAGAAAAAAAAGAGAGAGAAAAATATCACGCGTGAGTTGTACAATTTTGGTTTGAGCGACATATCTGAAATTCTAGCTTCAAAGTCCAAAGTACTGACATAATAATGAGTGTGGCTCCCATATTTGGATTCGTTTAACCGTGTTCTGTAGTTGCATGGGCCGTGTATTCGACAATAAAGCAAGAATAACGATACTATTGTAGATAAGTTTTATATTACAAATTATACAATTTAAGAGAGATAATTGGATTTGTGATGTGATGGAAAAAGATAGATAATTTTTTTTTTAAGAAACATTGTAAAAAAATTATTATGCGTTTCATTGCTTGTGAAGTAGACAGCAACATTATCTACATTTTGTCATGGAGTACTAACTGGTTAATTGAATGGTGTTACTGAAAATTCTCCGATATGATCTTGATATCTGTGTAACACTGGAGAAACCTTTTGGTTGTACAGAGTCAAGAGAACGAAAGCATCGACGCGCAAGTGGTGAAGCAAGCAGTGCTGCAAGCGATCCAAAACATGGATTAATCGAATTGCGCTATGAAGAAAGTACCTTAGTGAGAGAATTTGAAGTCTTTTGTATTAAATATAAATGTTACGTATCCAAGTGAGAGAATTTAAGTGTGATACTATATTCTGCCAAAATGTAAGTACCTCCTCAATGACCCTTTTACATGTGATGTGGCTTCTTCGTTTGTAGGAAAGAATGAATGGACAGGGATCGTCCTGGTTAATCGGTACATTAATTGCTGCTTAATTAGAATTCAATGGGTTTGAAAAAAGAAGTAATATTTCCTTTTTTATTTCGAAAAATTCACTCATTGTAAATTCAAGTTTATTCTATTAAAGTTTTACCGAAAACTAACATAACATATCGAAGTTAATGATTGAAGATATAGAAAGGTTCATTTTGAATGTAAAATTCAAACATTTAAATTTTGTAACTTATAAAAAATTGGCACAATATTGAAAATCTAATACTTAAATATTATGTGGTTCTTGTAAAAAAAAATTTATGTAATTAGCAAAAATCGTTAAGTCAAGTGATTTAATACTTATGTTAATTAATTAAAGATTTGAACATGAAATCATTACTAGAGATATCACTTTATCCCTTTAAAGATTTATAGAGAATAAATTATATCTCCTTATATAACTAAGAAAAAAAATTATGTAGTTAATTTTTTTTAATGGTATTGTATTAATATTATATGATCATGTAAAATTATTATTTAAAACTTACTTTTTTTACTATGTCATATTAGTTTTTGTTAAGTCAAAATGAATGAAGGAATTAATTGATAAGAGACTTGTTTATTTATTTATTGGTTTAGACCATACACGTAAAATTGGACCTTTCTATTAGAAGCAATTTTGTTAATTTGGTTAGAACTATTATAAATGATGGAATCATGCTTAGGGTCCAATTCAAAAAGAGTCAAGATAAGTGAGTTAGGTTTGAAGGAAGAAAGCTCAAACTAATGTTGAACTTTGAGTCACTTTTAGTAGTTTATTTTCTCTTCTTTACAAATATTTCTTTGTAAATATTTTCTTTTATTTTGACTTTGTATTTTTTTGGTCAAATAGTTAAAGAATTTATTTTCCTGTAATTTTTTCTTAAGGGTGTATTTAGTATTTTAAGGGGGGTACAATTAGTGTTTGAAAAATGTACTTATTTGAGCTTGTTTGAGTCAAAAGAGAGTGAAGAACATTTCTCATTGAGTGGGACGTCCAAATTGGTCCCCACATTCTCTCATTGGTCCATGCATCACCAACAAGTCAAATATTTCGCACACTAGTCACACTTTTTATTTGTTTGCTTTTACACCCCTTTTTCTACTAACACAGCTCCCATCACACCTCTTGCACCTTGTCATATTACACACTCTTTGCTCTTTTAAATCTAGGATGTAGACTATTTTAGGAGGAAAATTCAAATTTGAATTTCAAAATTAAATTAGAGTTAGTTGGGTTAAATATAAATTAACCTAACAACGGTGACACCTGACCTTAGTTAACTTAACTTTCACCACAAGCTACCAAACTCTCTAACACTCTTTACCCCCACATACTAATAGAATCAAATAAAAGAAAGGAAATAGCATAGGAGTCCAAAACTAACTTCACTAAACTGAAACAATTTGCAATTCTCCTTTGATATAGAGGCATCACATACATATAACGCTAAACCAAAAGAAATAAACATAAGTTTAGACCAATGATTACAACTAGAAACAAATAACATCAATCCTACTCATAAAGACTACTAAAACAGGAAATTCTAACTATTGTCTCAATGTCACATTCTATCATAACTCAATACACCACCAACACATAAGGCCTAAGCCTTATCTCCAACATCATCCTTAGGATGAGTCTCACTTGCAAAACATAAGCAAGAACACCATACAACAAAATAGGAGTGAAAAAGATCTTATTTTCGCTACAAAGGTAAGATGTAATCGGATAGCCAAACAAAACAAAACATGATACAACAATTTAGATATAAGCACAATATACTTAATCAAGGAATCACTGAATATCTTAACACACAATTACATATGAATTCACATAATGAAATGGACACAAACTTTGTTGTATGATATGCATATGACACCAGTAAAACAATTTGTTGTACAGTTTTTCCAAAGGCACGTGTAGAGTAGCCTAGGAGAGAGCATCCTAGGTCAAACCCTCACTTCACTCTAAACTAGGAGGAGATACACCAGGGCACATCGATTAAGACAATTGTGTTGCGTAAGTTTCATCCCATGAATACAAACAAGCAAAACTAGAGCTCCTAAACCTAGTTGTTCCTAAGGTCACGAATCCCAAAATATACACAAAGAGGCACCTTCCCTATTTATGTATCATACCCATCACAAAATATTTATGCACATGATACATGTTACATAAGAACCGATATGCAATTATCATGTTATGACATTATTACAATATCACAAGTACACATTACACGTATTACTCACATTATTGTTAGGCCAACATGTCCAATCTTTATCCCTACTAAGCCTTATCTTAGACTTTGTGTTGCATGATCATCATATGATCCACATACAAACACAACATGTTATAACACACATGAGTAACATATTCACAATTCAAACACAACAATGTTCATAATATCATTTGACAACAACTCAAATAGAGTTATTATGGAATCATCTTGTAACACTGTGTGATTTTAGCCTTGTTGATTAGTTATATGATATATGTTGATCAATTGTTGAAATGTTGTATTTATTATTGTTTTAGAGCTATAAGGGTCAAGGATGCTTGAGAGTTAAGTTATTGTTTGATACAATTTTAGTTAGGATCAAGTTGACCAAGTTTAGGGAATGATATTTAAGATTTTCTCAAGACATGAACCTTATAAGTTCATATCTTAAGAAAAGTTAGAGAGAAACCAAAGGAAATCTTTTTCTTCTTTTGATCCTTCAGGAATCCTACAGGCCTTCCCCTCAATTGAGCAACAATAGTAGATTACTATTAAGTCTCAATTATACTTTTTTTAGATAAGACTTATTGAACAATTCCACTCATCCATGCACTCTTGCAATATAATTGTTCTCTTTTTTATTTCAATTTTTGTCCAGATATAGCTAACCCAAAACTCATCTAATAATACCCTGATACACCTCATTTTTTGTGCAAGTATTGAGTGAAGAGTTGAAGTTAAAGACCCATTGGATTGGAAATTGGAGGAGCTAAGGAGCAGGAGAAGCATCATTACGCCAGGCGCATACTACCCGTGCCGGGCTTGAGAAACACAAAGAGCATCACCTCTGCATTTCAGCATTGTGCCGGGTGCAATAACATTAATTGCATCGTGCGTGCTTCAAGATAGAGAACATTCAAAACTCTCTAGAAGACATTCACTACAAGAAAAATGTAAATTTCCGACGGAAAATTTCCGACAGATATGGATCCGTCGGAAATTTCTGACAGAAACTTTCTGACCGAAAATTCTGTCGGAAATTTCCGACGGAAAAATATATCCGTCAGAAATTTCCGACGGAAATATAAATCCGTCGAAAAATTCTTTTTATTTTTTTTATTTTTAATTCTTATTTTTAATTTCTTATTTTAATCTCTTATTTTTAATTTATTATTTTTAATTGCTTATGTATATTTGTAGTTTAAAACTTTTATATATAACTTTTAAAGGTATAAATATATATTATAATTATTTATTACAAGTTTTTTATATCTACGATTAGTATTAAAGATGAAGATAAATTAGCTCACACTATATTTTATTATAATTTAGTTGGTTTGAACTTAACTTTTTTTGAAAAATATATATCTTAAGTATGACTTATTTATCTATCATAGACATTTTTTAAATGTTTGGGTAGAACTACAATCGTAAAGACTTATTTTATAATAATTTAACACTATTAAAAATAAAAATAAATATGTTAAATTTTATAAAAATAAATTTTAATTTATTTATGATATAAATATGTTTTTAATATCTAATATATATTTTTAGATGATAATTTATTTTAAAATATATCTTATAATAACAATTCTAAATGGAACATAAATCTTCTGATTTTTCTTATTTTGATTTTTTTAATCAATGTATACAATTTTACTATTTTGATTTTTTCAATCAACGTATACAATAAATAAAAAA